TGTCTGGCATGGAATGTTCTGTGTATATCTGTGCTATGCGCTGCTGGAGGGTCTGCGGAGGGTTCAGAGGGTCTGTGTGTGAGATCTGTGGAGTCAGACCCTTCTCTACAGTCAGTCCTACACACCCAATTAAAATACAATTTAAGGGGTTTAGTCTGCCCTGTACTTTTATGTTAGACAGATGCTGGAGAGTAAAAGCTCAATTCTTTTTGTAAATGCAGCTACTGTAAGCGCCCAAATTTGACCCGGTATCAGCCTCTTGCATTCCCCTGTACAGCAGCAATCAGACTGCGAGGGGGAGCGACAGGACTAGGGGCCAGTCAGTCTTGCAGCATGCAAATGTGTTGAACATGCTGAGGTGAGAGCAGAGTGAGCAGAGGGATGACCTTGTCAATCTGCTGCTGCTCTTTTACTGTCTATTCAGCATTCTAGGGGTGGTATGGCTGACAATCCTGGAAGACAATGCAGGCTCATCTGAGGCACGGAGTCTATGTGAAACCTTAGACCCCGTTCACATGTAGCGACATACCTTTGCAGCGGCCGGGATAGCGCGACTTTCGGGGTGACGTTCCAGCGACGATCCAGCGACGGTAGCGCTACCTTCTCCGTCGGGCTCCATAGAAAAAAAGCAAAATCGCGCAAAATCCGCCAAAAAAAGGGTCCGGTAGAAGCGACTTGCGACCGCGACGCGCGACATGGAGCTAAGACAGCTCCATTGACTATCATTAGCCGGCGACTTCTCGCGATATCGCGCGGCAAAAATGCGCGATATCGCGGCTGAAATTGCGCGATAAGTCGCTACATGTGAACGGGGCCTTAGTCTTCACCAGAGCATCCCGCAAGGAGTGATGGGCTGGTGACCTTAGTGGCTCCAGCATACTTTGCTGAAAGATGGCAACAAGTCACCACATTTAGGACTTCCCCACCAAAGGGGCTGCAGTAGCAGTTTGGCTACAATAAAGAGATAGGTAAATGGCACTTTAGCTGTTCAAGGTTCAGGCTGAAGTCAGGGCAGGTGAAAACCGAGAATAGTCAAAGTCCAAACAGAGGTCAGGGCAGATGGCAGGCAAGAAGAGATAAAATCTAGGCAGAGGTCAGGGCAGGCAGCAGGCAAGGATGGTTAAAGTCCAGGCAGAGGCCGGGGCAGGCGGCAGCCTGGAATAATCAAAGACCAGTCAGAGGTCAGGACAGACAGGAACCATAAATAGCCAAAGTCCACTCGGAGGCTAGGGCAGGTGGCAGGCAAGAATAGTCAAAGTCCAGGCAGAGGTCAGCGGACGCGACAGGCAAACATAGTCAAAGTCCAGGCAGTGGTCACGGCAGGCAGGCACATGTAGCTGGCAAGAAGATACAGCACTTGGTACCAAAAATGAAGGTGTTTAAATACCCTTCTGTAGCTGCGTGCACACCCAGCCTCAGAGATGTGCGCTACTTCACATTAATATCAAACAAGTGCCAATACATATGCGCTCATGCATACCATTAGCCATGGCTAAATGGCCATAAGCTGGCACATGTGACACACTGCAGGTGTACAGGAGGGCCATGCCCCTGGCAGTACAGACACAGATTCTGGAGGTATTGTAACCAAGGTGAAAAGACTGTATACCTTAACTGTAAATGGTGTTATCCACCAGACTGTGCTTTGTGACAGAGCTACTCTAAAAAAAATCCTCGTGGGCCTGTTTATTGTGCTGCATTAGCATACGTTGGAGTATATACAAGAGGAACAAGACATAAATACAAATCAAGACCAACATATAATAAAAAACAAAATATAACAGTACATTTGTATGTTTGTGAAGAAGAGAAACTGTAGGTGGCTGAAACATGTCATTGTATTTCATAATAGCGACCTATGCTGTCTTTTCATACAAACTGCAATGAGGGTTGCATGGCGCACCTCCATAGCCACATAATTGCTTCAACACACACTGAAATGAAGAAAATTGAATATCCAACTACTTTTATGTCCATGCCCATAGGGCTGCCATTGCTTTGCTCTTGAAAATGCTAGTTGGCTGGCTGCGTTTGGTATAAATACTTCTTAGCCGCTGCCCCAGAACAAGCATGCAGCAGATACAAGTCAGAGAAATACTCTACTTCTAGATTAGTGATAGCCAGAATGGAATTGAAGCCAAAGAATGACAGTCAAAGAACTAGAGTTTGCAGGAGATGTCAGCATGAGATGTCTACATACAGTATAGTCTCCTTAACACAGGTTTCCGTTAAACATTTATCTGACAGCTGTGAAGCGCTGCTCTTGCTGGGCGCCAATCCACTGTAATGCAGCCTGGACCCATGGCAGGCCAATAGCCAGGACATGGACTTATTCTCATGTAGATGAGATCCTACTTGGCATATGTATGGGGGCACTTCCCAAACAATTCAAACTATATAGATCTCAAATGAACAGGAGGCAATTATGTTCATATGATAGCCACACATGATCATTTCTATTCTACTCACAAGGTCACACCGTACCTCACGGGGTTTGTCAGTTAAGGTGAAACCCTGGGCTACCCATAGACAATAGAGGGTGGTTAGATGCAAGCACAGTATGACCGCCCTCAGGCTAACCGTGCATCAGTGCTGGGCCTTGCCATTAGAGGATATGCTGTAATGAGCATTGTTTGACAAAAACCTGCCAAGCACGAGCAGATATACTGTATCCTGGAGGGGTCACTGCATTACTGCCAATGTACAGGGGTCACTGCATTACCGCCAATGTACAGGGGTCACTGCATTACCGCCAATGTACAGGGGTCACTGCACTGACTGCCAATGTACAGGGGCCAATGTACTGACCGCCAATGTTTGCACTCTACACAGTAACACTTCTCTTGTCCTGTATGCTGGGTGCAATTCTCAGTATCTATTCTTATTCTGTATGTATGGACTCTGCACAGTAACACTTCTCATGTCCTATATGCTGGGTGTAATTCTCAGTATCTGTTCTTATTCTGTATATATGGATTCTGCGCAGTAACACTTCTCATGTCCTGTATGCCGGGTGTAATTCTCAGTATCTATTCATATTCTGTATGTATGGATTCTGCGCAGTACCACTTCTCATGTCCTGTATGCCGGGTGTAATTCTCAGTATCTATTCATATTCTGTATGTATGGACTCTACACAGTAACACTTCTCATGTCCTGTATGCTGGGTGTAATTCTCAGGATCTATTTTTATTCTGTATGTATGGACTCTGCACAGTAACACTTCTCATGTCCTATATGCTGGGTGTAATTCTCAGTATCTATTCATATTCTGTATGTATGGACTCTACACAGTAACACTTCTCATGTCCTGTATGCTGGGTGTAATTCTCAGTATCTATTCTTATTCTGCATGTATGGACTCTGCACAGTAACACTTCTCATGTCCTATATGCTGGGTGTAATTCTCAGTATCTATTCATATTCTGTATGTATGGACTCTACACAGTAACACTTCTCATGTCCTGTATGCTGGGTGTAATTCTCAGTATCTGTTCATATTCTGTATGTATGGACTCTGCACAGCACCACTTCTCTTGTCCTGTATGCTGGGTGTAATTCTCACTGCGTACATACTGACCTCCGACCTCTACATTGCACCACTGGCCTCTGCACTGCGTACATACTGACCTCCGACCTCTACATTGCACCGCTTACATGCTGACATCCGAGCTCTACATTACACCGCCGGCCTCTGCACTGCGTGCATGCTGACCTCTGACCTCACACATTACACCGCTGGCCTCTGCACTGCACACATGCTGACCTCTACATTACACCGCTCACCTCTGCACTGTGCTTTATTGGTGACCTATGCACTGTGCGTCGCACCGCTGACTTCTGCACTCTGCATTACACTGACACCCTGAGTTAGTGGCAGAACTACCAGGGTTGCAGCGCTCGTGTAGCACACTGACGAGGCATCCTTCCACTACCAGTGTTCTATAATTTTCCTCAACCCATAAATTTCCCTGCAGCGTCCCTTCAAGGTGCGCATGTGCATGACGAAAGGGGGTCATGAACACAGCTGATTCAGATGATGCGGCCCCACCATAAGTGACGGGTTCGAAAAAATGTATGGGGTCGAGACAAATTGTAGAACACTGACTTTGACACTGTCCGGCCCCTCCCACAGCTCACAGCCCAGAAGCATGGACAGCCAGTGGCGGCCTACAGTGCCTAAGTACCAGACATGGAGCGGAGTAAGGCCACAACCATATAGGGAGCCCAGTGGGAGGAGAGCACCATCACTCAGCCAGTCACCCCTTTCATGGACCTACATGGTCCTCACATCACCAGACCATTCATACTACCGTTACATGGATGGCCAAAGTGGCAGACGGGCGGGGGGAAGCGGCAGAGCGGGAGGGGGGCCGAGTCGCTGCACAATGGGCCTCTGGGTTGTACTTGCCCCCTGGGCTAAAAGTTGCCAGGCAGCCCCTGTGTGTGCCCCATGTGCCCAGCTCCTGTGTGCCCCCTGTACCCAGCTCCTGTGTGCCCCCTTTGTCTAGCTCCTGTGTGCCCCCTGTGAGAAGCCCCATTGTGTAGATATAGAGCGCTCTGTCTGCCCCCTGTACTCACTCACGCTTCGCTCCTCTTCTACCTTCACAGCGCAACAGCTGCAGCTCGCCAAGAGTTAAATCCTCTCTCCGGCCGCTATAGGCTGGGAGGGGAGAGGGCTGCGCCACTATTGGCTGAAAGTTTCAAGGTGGGCGGGCCTTGCCGTCTGCTCTGCGGTCCCTTGAATCACAAAGCCTGCGGGGAGTGCACAGCGAGGCTGCTGCGGGGCTTCCTTGGATCTCATTGTGTCATCGCCCGCATCCCACATCGCTGTTCCCCCCCGAGGGCATAAGGAAAGAGCAGGAGGGCATGAGGGCACCCTGAGGGGCCAGTGTGGACCCTGAACCCCGGGATATAGGAGTAGAGCCGGACTCTGCAGGAACGATCCGCAGCGCTGCCTGTACACTGGACTATCCTCTGCTGGGTGCACTGGACGGAGCGGTACCTGGGAGCCGGCTCAGGGATATAGGTATGTGTCCGGGGGCATCCCCCAAATCTACATTCATCCTATGTGTTTGTAATAGTGCTGGATGAGGTCATCACAGGTCCCAAGGCATGTAATATACATGTGTCATATACTATACATGTGCCATATACATGTGTCATATTTTATACACATGTGTCATATACTATACATGTGCTATATACTATACATGTGTCATATACTATACATATCTCATATATTATACATGTCATATACTATATGTCATTTACTATGCATATCACATATATTATACATGTGTCCTATACTATACATGTCTCATATCACATCAAATCAATTCATTATAATTTAAATGAATTATACAACCACAGTGTTTGCTCCCGGTGTCACTATGAGGAGCGCTGCTATGATCCCATATGGCTCAGAAGCTGTCAGCGTCTTATGTGGAATTCACCACTGATATTTATATACCATAACACTGATTATTATATCATATGTAATTCCCCCCTATACCGCTGATTATTATATCATATGTAATTCCCCCCCTATACCGCTGATTATTATATCATATGTAATTGCCCCCCTATACCGCTGATTATTATATCATATGTAATTGCCCCCCTATACCGCTGATTATTATATCATATGTAATTGCCCCCCTATACCGCTGATTATTATATCATATGTAATTGCCCCCCTATACCGCTGATTATTATATCATATGTAATTGCCCCCCTATACCGCTAATTATTATATTCCCCCCTCTATATATGATTGTTATATCAAACCATCTGTATAAATCCCTTGTATCCCTTCTATAATATACAGCATTCCTCCTTATATCGCTGAGTATTATATCATATATAGATTTCCCCCTTATATCGCTGAGTATTATATCATATATAGATATACTACAGCTCACGCCAACCGCCTGCCACCGCATACAGCACATGGTAACCCATCCACTGCTGCTCACACTCTGTCCCTGATTTCCGGGAGGATTGTCCCTGGAAATGTATTTCGGTTAGGTTTAGGTTATTTCCCGTCTACTTCGTATTGATGTTATCTGGAATTATTGAGATTTAAAAGGCAAATAAAGCCGTTTTATTACCATATTTACTAAACGACCATAATGGGGTGGTGAAGGTATTCCACTTTATCAGCGGTGTCACCTGGAAGTGTTGTGGAGTGATTCTGTCCTGTGCACACACAAATTCACATAGCCCGGACTATTCACCTAATAATGACTGGCCACAAAGCCACCAAAAAGCCACGTCCTGGGCTATACACTAATGACCGGCTACCATAGGTACTAACACCGACCACAAAGCCACCACATGGACTATTCACCAGATAATGACCGGCTACCATATGTAATAACACTGACCACAAAGCCACCACCTGCACTATACACCAGATAATGACCGGCTACCATAGGTACTAACACCGACCACAAAGCCACCACCTGCACTATACACCAGATAATGACCGGCCGCAAAGCCACCACCTAGACTGTACACTAAATAATGACCGGCTACCACATGTACTATTACCGACCACAAACACACCACTCAGACTATACACCTAATAATGACCGGCTACCATATGTACTAACCAACCATAAAGCCACCACCTGGACTATACACCTAGTAATGACCGTCTGCCATATGTACTATCACTGACCACAGAGCCAACGCACACGGTGTTTCCTCTCTACTAATACATTAGTTATATTGGGATTCCTGCATCCCTGATACCGTGTGCCGAATACAATCCTAATGATGTCAGTATTTGCCCTGAGCTGGTTAAACAAATATTACTTACATATGCTTTACTGTATCCCACCCCGGGGCCACGGAATCCACAAGCCGAGGCTAATTACATTATTACCTGAATAATGTATGTGATGCTCATAGTTAGAATTACACCGCCACGTTCTGTATTCATATTTAGGAATTTGTTGGTAGCATTATAAATCAATTATTGGAACACTTGTAAAGGTTTAAAAGGAAATGTTCTTGTTCTATAGTAATTACCGGGACAGCTAATGACCCCCCAATGGCCACGCGGGGGGTGCAGCAGATTCCGTTGGTTGGTGTCGTGAGCTATAATTTAGGGCGATCGATACACTTGGGGAAAAAATCCTGCTGGTGTTTATGGTGTAAAAATAACGATTTGATGTACTTCTCGTATTGGTCGGGAATGAATGACCGTCTCGTGTTGGTCAGAATTAATGAACGGTCGGAATGAATGTCTTGCATTAGTCGGAATGAATGGATGTCTTGCATTGGTCAGAATTAACGCGTGTCTCGTATTGGTTGGAATGAATGAATGGTCGGAATAAGCAAACGTCTTGTATTGGTCGGAATCAATGAGTGTCTTGCATTGGTCGGAATTAGTGTCTTGCATTGGTAAGAATGAATGTCTTGCATTGATCGGAATTAAAGCGTGTCTCATTTTGGTCGGAATTAATGAATGGTGAGAATTAACGAACGTCTTGTATTGGTCGGAATGAATGAACGGTCAGAATGAATGCCTTGCACTGGTCGGAATTAAAGAGTGTCTCGTATTGTTCGGAATTAATGAATGGTCAGGGTTAACAAATGTCTCGTATTGGTGGAAATGAATAAATGTCTTGCATTGGTCGGAATTAATGAACGTCTCACATTCACGGAATAATTGAACGATCAGAATTAATGAACATCTTATATTGGTCAGAATTAAAAAACATCTCGCATTGGTCGGAATTCATAAATGTCTCGCATTGGTCGGAATAAGGGGCATTGGCGGCGTTTCAGAGCCGCGTCATATTTTTGAATCCTTGCTGGAAATAGGTTGAAAATAAGGAAGCCAATATTACAGCTGGTGCCTAACTTTTGAAGGTTTTCTCTACTTGTCATGGAGCTGGCACCTTAAAAAACCCATCCTGCTGGCTCCTTCATTGGGCTTGTGAATTCCATATGAATTCCCCCACCTCTGGAATAATTAGTCCCCACGCTGAATGAAAGAATAAATGATTTCCCTCAGGAAATGTTGGAAACAAGGCATTTGCTATATAATAATTTTCTAAATGTGTTTAAAACTGTGTGTCCTGGTTTGTGGCCGGGCTGAAGTTCTCTGTTTTCTATGTGATGAATATCTCATAAAGCAAAGTCTTTCATTCCTTTTTGCCTCGGGTTGACAGATCCAAGTCTCCAAACCCGAACGCTTTGGAAGTTCTAAGTGGGCTTTACACTCTGCTGACCTCGGGGGAGAGCTCAGCTCTGCACCGGCTGCTCGGAACTCTTTTGCTTTCCTTTCGTGCCGCTGAAGGTGCTGGGGAGACGATTAAAGGGTCATTCATTGCCACCATCAATATTTCCTTCTTTCCTCTGGAAATTTCTTATCAATTGAACCAGCTCGCTTTATAGGGCAACCGTTTGCTTCGGAACATCTGGCCCCCCCCCGTGGATATTTTGACTAGCCAAATGGAGGAACGTCCAAGAGACCAATAGAGAAGCCGGGACAGTGTAGCATTCATGGGCGCTCCTCAGTAAACGCGTTTACTGTAGCCCCACTGTGCTCTGTCAATACGGCTTTCATAGGGAAGGAGGGGGGCCCATCAATGTGACTACGCCGCACGGGAAGCAGGGACATATAGAGCACGTGGGGCTATTTTCTGCTCTTTTTCTTTGGTCGAGCCACATTAACCTTTCGCATGCCAGGGGAGATCCCGAGGCCAGCTGCAGGGGATTTTCTGTCAAAGGGACCCCGGTGCAAAGCACGCAAGATACAAGGTGTAATTATTTAACTTGCTGGATTCAATGCGGGGATTGTTGTGTGTCCCCAGGGTAGACAGCCTTTACAAGAGCCAGGAATTCAGACAACTGTTTAGAGAGTGAGAGTGAGCCGGTGTGTGTGCACGACTATAATTAATGTACACCTTTGGGCTGTTTTAAAAAAAAAAAATTTATGCGGAGCGTTTGTAAATCCCGATGGCCTTTGACATCTATTTTGTACAGTTAATTGGTGGCAACAGCGCTTTGTCCCGAGTGTCACAAGAAGGACCGAGCAAGTGAAAGGACCTTAAACATTTCTCGGAGATGGGGTTACATACAAAAGCACTATTTGATTGATTTGTAGGGGGAGTTATGTACCAAAGGGTGTATATTTTTAACCTGTAACACAGGGCTGGACAAATCCCAGGAGCCAGGTCGCCAATGCTCCTTAAAAATTACAGCCGGTGCCTAAATTTTAAGATGTTGGCAACAGTTTCTAAAATAAAATCCTGCTGGCTCCTGGATTGGACAGACTGGCTCCTGAATTGTATATTAATTTGTCCACCTCTGTCGGAGTATGTATAAAAAAAAGAAAAGAAAAAACGATTATCTCTGTTCATGTCCTCCTCCTCCTCCCGATGAGCTGGTTAAAATAAATTCACTGACTTGGCACAAAGCATACGGCGGTTATTAATATATCGTAGAGAGCGATAGAGCGCGTGTGAGTTATTCCCCGGTATTTCTCATACAAAGCAATCCAGTAACTGACAGCAGCCAATCAGATTGTAACTTTTGTTAGTTTAGTGCTATCAGGCCAGTGAAAGATGACCGCTGATTGGTTGCTGAGGGTGATTTAATATTTGCTTAAATGAGTTTGTATTCCGTAGAATTTTTGCGTTATTCAGAGCAGAATTATGAATTTTTAAATGTCTAATTTAAAAAAACTAACGCTGAAATATGATTTGTGCTCTGCGAGGTTGGCCATAAAGCAGTATTGAATTCAGATGTTTTTTCTTATCTCCTTTTGCCTTTTAGGTATTTATTGAAAGACATTAAACGGTACTTCGTGATGGAATTCCAGTTTGTCCTCCTCATTGTTGGAATAATTGCGTCCTCTGACTCGGCAAGAGGTAAGCGTGTTAATTGTAAGCACACCCAACACCGTCTCATGTGGCTTGACGGTAAATACCAAACTGTGTTTGCTTGTTGTTTGGCTCATCTACCTGTTATTGGTGGCTCGTTAGGTTGTATAGAGCAGATGTGGTTTCAGTTTGAGCTTCAGCACTCTGGGTTTTTGTTTGCCTACCAAACCCTGAGTTTTCTGTTGTTGCAGGACTTAAAGCTTGGAGTTTCATTGATACCTTTTTTTGGTTACTTTAAGTGATTGCAAGCTTTAGGGGTTCCTTATGTTTTTTTGTCAGACTTTATACATCCCATGGTACTTTTGCAGGCTTTAGTGGTTCCCTCGATCCCTTTGTCAGACTTTATAGATCCAACAGTACTTTTGCAAGCTTTAGGGGTTCCCTAGATCCCTTCATCAGGCTTTATATAACTCACAGTACTTTTGCAAGCTTTAGGGGTTCCTTAGATTCCTTTCTCAGGCTTTATACATCTCACGGTACTTTCACAAGCTTTAGGGGATCCCTAGATCTCTTCGTCAGGCATTATAGATCTCATGGTACTCTTAAAAGGTTTAGGGGTTACTTAAATCCCTTTGCCAGGCTTTATACATCTCATGGTACTTTTGCAAGCTTTAGGGGTTCCCTAGATACCTTTGTCAGACTTTACACATCCCATGGTACTTTTGCAAGGTTTAGGGGTTCCTTAGATCTATTTGTCAGGCTTTATATATCTCACAGTACTTTTGCAAGGTTTAGGGGATTCCCTAGATCCCATTGTCAGGCTTTATATATCTCACAGTACTTTTGCAGGCTTTAGGGGATCCCTAGATCCCATTGTCAGGCATTATACATCTCACAGTACATTTGTAAGCTTTAGGGGATTTCTAGATCCCTTCGTCTGGCATTATACATCTCATGGTACTTTTGCAAACTTTAAGGGTTCCTTAGATCCCTTTGTCAGGCTTTATACATCTCACAGTACTTTTTGGAAGCTTTAGGGGTTACCTAGATCCCTTTGCCACACTTTATACATCTCATGGTACTTTTGCAGGACAAAGAGATCAGATAATAAAGTAATTCCACTAATGAATGTATCTAAACGACCTCCTTAGAAGTTTAATCCTGGTCTTCTTTTGTCTTGTCCCCGGCAAACCAAACAAACAATTGTGGCACTATCTTCTGAGTGACAATTGTGACGGCTTCCAGGGTGTTGCACCTATTTTATCACTGGATGGGGGATAATGACCTTCTGTAAACAAGAAGTCACCAGCTGTCTTGGACATCTCCTTTGGTTATCTTGGTAGAAGCTTCCCTTCTAAATGGTTTATAGCTGTTTAGATGTAATCTGTACTATGGGGATGCGGGAGTGAGTAAAACGCTGATGGTCTTGAAGACGTAGACTGGTTGGGTTGAACTTGCTGTTGGGCACCTGTTTAGGAAATTGCAGTGATTGACTGCTTGGTTGCACCTTGAGAATATACGACTGTAGTCATTTCCTAAGATAGTCCCGGCCGCTGGATGGTTGGATGTTCTGTGAAGCAAATTGCTAATGTGTTACTTCAGGGCTGGACAAGTCCCAGGAGAAAGGTAGCCAGGAAGTGTACACCTGGTTGACCTCTTTGCCCTGTGATTGGTGTCAGCGGGAGCAAGTGTTGTCTGGTGTTTAAAAATTACCTGTTGTCTCCTAGATTGGACTGTTGAATTCTAACTCGCCCACCCCTGGAAGTTATTTATTACCGACCTCAATGTGAGGTCAGTAACTATTTAAAACCAGGGGTGGACAAATAATATAGCATTCAGGAGCCAGTCTGTCCAATCCAGGAGCCGGCAGGAATTTCTTTGAGGAGCCAGCTCCATTGACAACAACTAAAGAAAACCTCAAAAGTTGGGTGCCAGTTTTTAAGGCGCATTGGTGACCTGGCCCCTGGAATTTGCCCAGCCCTGCTTCAAACTGAACCCTGGCAGATAGCAAATACGCTGTTGCAGTTATGTATTCATCAAATAAAACATGAAATGTATTTTAAATGCATCTAATATAACTATTTATATTTGACTTTGTATCTACATCTTGCACTTCCCTGTACAGCAGCATTAGTTGCCAGTTCGATGTGCTGGCTGGCAAAGAGCATGCTTGACAGGAGCAGAGAGATTTGCTTACCAGTCTCTTGCTGCTCCTTCATTGTGCAATCACAGGCTTGAGGTAGAGAGGTAACCAAGTTTTACTGCTTAACTGCAGTAGGGAAAAGTGAGCTCACCAGTGTGGTGCTGCTGCTGGGCACAGCTGTGTAAATCTCTAGTCTGGCTGAGCAGAAATACAAATGCTATGGCAGGTAAAACAGCTCTAATATATGTATTATAATGGTGTAGCTGCTATCCTAGAGTTCAGTTTTGGGAGGGCCGTAGACGATAGTCTGGCTTGGCTGTGTAAATCTCAGGTCTGGCTGAACAGAAATACAAAATGCTATGGCAGGTAAAATGGCTCTCGTATATGTATGTTAATGGTGTAGTTACTATCCTGGAGTTCCACTTTAAGAGAGCCGTAGACGATGGTTTGGCTTGGCTCTGCCGCTATACTTGAGTTCAGTTTTGGGAGGGCCGTGGACGATGGTCTGGTTTGGCTGTGCAAATCTCGTGTCTGGCTGAGCAGAAATACAAATGCTTTGGCAGGTACAGCGGTACTCATATATGTATGTGAATGGTGTAGCTGCTATCCTGGTGTTCCACTTTAAGAGGGCTGTAGATGATGGTCTGCCTTGGCTCTGCTGCTATCCTGGAGTTCAGCTTTAGGAAGGTCGTAGATGATAGTCTGGCATGGCTCTGTAAATCTCAGGATTTGATTGAATACAAGGGTTGTGTATCATCGTTCTCTCACATTTTAGAGAATATTATTGTGATGGAAGCAATGCAAATGATGCTCAATTGCAATCGAACAATGAGCATCAGAAAAGTAGATGCAAAGATTTAGACCTGCTGAAGTTAAAATCAGATCTTGACTTTTCGTGTAGAGGTCAGTCTTGGCCCCGCCCTCTTACCTCCCTTAAGTTGCACTTACCACCAATGGTGCTTTTCTTTACCTTCATAGACGTATTTAGTATCATTGGGAGAAAGGTGATGCCATGCTGTGCCTGTGTCTGCTCCGCATGTGAACTATGTCAGCTATGATAGAAGGAGCAGTGTTTCCGATGTTTTGGAAATCTTGCACATGTGCATGACTGTTAGAAATCAGGAAACAACATAAACAGAATGCTTTGTTATTGGATTCCTTTCTGAAGGGTCATTAGGCGATGATCTGCGGTCCATTCTAATGCAAACATTTCTCAGCAGAGTTGTCCCCCCCTCCCCCTCCCCATACACAACCTGCTTGCAGTGTTTTGCCCTGCCAGTGCAGTGTACCGAAGCAGACGTCTGCAAAGTGTGAAAATCAGCAGATTGTCAGGAGTGAAGGGGACGTAAACCAAATAAAACAGCGAGGAAAGAAAATAAAACGGCACATCTGGCTCAGTTTCAGTGTTGTGTTTTGGTGCTGAAAATTGCTGCATAATTTGTAGCGGGTTTCCTGATCTGCGAGCTTTCAGTGAAGGCGTTTTAGCTGGAATGCTGGAATTCGTATTAAACGCGTTTAACTCTTATAAATCCCCAAGAGGATGCGCCTGCCTGTCCGGCGCACTTCGGCGTCTCCTACAGCAGGTGTAAGCTGCCTCTGGTGCTGCAGCTGTTTTCAGACTACTGCTCTCATCGTCCGATTTAGCAATGGCGTAGCTCTAATTTTCTTTCTTGATGATGCGGAGGTAGGACGGATCCACTAAGAGTCTTGGTACCCGCAGCCGGTTCTTGTAAGTCATGTGACCTTGGAACGGTACCTGCGGCACATCGCTGCTTTTCAATATACATACAGGTCTGAAAGGGCAAAGAACTGTGAATGTGAAAGTCTCATCGAGCAGGACGAGGACGTTATACAATAATAGCTCAGAATTTTTACTTCAAACATATATGAACTTTCTTAATGTTTCCAGGGATCTGTAATTACTTTTATATCCCCGTTTGGTGTTTCACTTAGTTGTGTCCTTCCTTGGCCCCCAGCCCTGGACCTCTATCCATGTTGACGGTCGCCATCGCTAATGTGTACATATGGCATGCTATCTGCATGTAGAGTGATGGCCGCAGGAAAATACCTTAAAGCGGAACTCCTGAAGGGCCTGACGTACGCCCCCCTTCCCCCCATTATTTTTTTTTAAAGCCCTATACCTTTTTCTATTAAAAAAGCCCTATACATAACCTTTTCTATTACAAACTCCCCCTATACATACCCCTTTCTATAGAAATGCCCCTATACATACCCCTTTCTATAGAAATGCCCCTATACATACCTTGGTCTTCTTGCCAATCCTGTCACATCATCCTGGGCTCTTCTCTTTCCGGTAGTAGTGGAGGGTGGCCATTCTTACAGGACTGCCACTCAGTCCTGGAGTAGTGTGAGTCCAGCCTGTGTGATAAAGTGCCCCATGGGGAGGGTGGGCATGTAAACGTCAAACTGGGCTAACAGATAATGGGCAATGACACTGTGCTGCTCTGCCCTAAAGAGGACCTCTGACGTGTGTGTGTGTGTGTGTTTTTATATTGACTTTATATATTTTTATAATTTATATATGTATGTATGTGTGTATATATACTGTGTGTGTGTGTGTGTGTGTGTGTATATATATAATTTCTGATCTTATGGAAAACATTTTTGTTTTTCAGTAAAATGTTCCTTTTTTTTGCCCTTCTTGTATTAGCGTTACCTCTCGGGGGCGCGCAGTGACTAATCCTGCCGGTTCCAGGTACAGAATTGGGGGAAAGTACAACAAAAGAGGCTTTGTCCTCTCCTTGAACACTCGCACTCTACAACGTATCCCCGCGCGGTCTTGTTTAATTTTCCCTCACACATTTTTTGTGTCCAGAATGTTTTGGAGGCACGTGTGAAATAGTTTGTGGCGGTGACTCCCTGTGCCGGCGCGGAGGGGAGCTGT